AAATCGGCACTTAAAAAGCAAGATAGTATAAAAGAGGGACAATAAGGTGAAATAGTCAAATTATTAGAAAATTATAAATAAAAAAAAGGGATTGGTTCGGCCCGACCCGGCCCGATTGAGATGGCCCCTTTGCTCCCACTTTTTGTTTAGGCCCAGCCCCTCTTTGATTATTTTTCTTCCCTTATTTTTGTCTGGGCTTGGCCCTTTATTTCTTTCTTTCCTTTCCTCTCAAGCCCGGCCCTCCATTTCATTTTCCCTCTCTCCCTCACGTTGTTCACAAAAGACACGGACAAGAGACAGAACAGACAAGGGAGAGAGAGAGCGGACGAAAGGGGGGAACAAACGGCGGGGACAAAAGGGCACGCCCGAGGGATTTTTTAGGCAGATTTTCGAGGGAGAGATGAAACAAAATAAAAAATAAAAAAAGAGAGATCTCTCTTTTTGGGGTCACCGGTCTCCCAGCTGAAAAGCGTACTGAGTGTTCGACGAAATGTCTAAATGAAAATCCGAATGATTTTTTTGGCGGAATCGATGTTTGGAACTCGGTTTTTATGCTTGATCAGTTCTCACATCCGTCGAATGGTGACTGACTTTGTGGTTTCTTTGTGGTTTCCTTCGATTTTGTGACATGAAAATCATTTTCCCGAGTCGCCCATCGATGAACGCACCCCCGTCGCCGGAAATCCATCCCCTCGCCGGGCCGTTGCCAGCGGTTTGCGGCTGCCACAGTCAGTCCATATTTCCTCAACCTTTAGTGTGCACATGTATGTTTGATTTGTCTGGAATGGCGTTTGTTTTTTATGTGCGTTTCGGTGACGCGTGGGTTCGTCGGGGTAACGTGACGACCGACCGGGAGTGGTTGTCGGCGTAGGCGGCGTTGTTCCGACAACTCGAGATGGTGGCCGATGGCCGGGGAAGGAAATCGCTCTCGGTGAAGCTTCAGGGAAGGAGGAGTCGTCGGGGAAGAAAACAACGTGAGGAAGAAGATGATGAACAGTAGAGGGGAGGGAAGAGAATAAAATAATAATAATAATAATAATAAAAATCAGAAAACAAAATAGAAAATTCGGATATAAATTGAGTCGGGTCGGATCTGGTAATCCGGGTCGGGTTGTTTGCTTGATCGGATCATAAGTATTGTGGGTTCAAAATTCGTGGGCTGGAGGTTTTATTAAACTGGGCTGAGTTTGTTTTGGGGGGGCTTGAATTGGTTTAAGGGGATTTAGAAGTTTGGGCCGATTTGTTGGAAAAGCCCAATCCTATCAAGAAAAAGGCCACATTTGGATTGGGCCCGAAAGACAAGCCCAACCAAGACCCACGGTCCGGATCAGACCGCCGAAACGGACCGGGTCAATTTAGGAAAGGTTAGGAAAGGTTGAGGAAAGATCAGACCGCCGAATCAGACCGGGTCAACCATTTTCCTGAATTAAAATAATAATTAAAAAATTAAAAAATTCCGAAAAATTCAAAAAGGTTAGGAAAGGTTTAGAAATTAGTTTTTTGGTTAAATTTCAATAGATTTTAGTGTTAATTCTAGTCTAGATCTAATTTCGCATGAAAAATGTGGTAGTCTTTTTTTGAAAAAGATATAAAAAAAAGGAAAAAGATTTGAAGCATGCCAATCGGACTTCATTTGTTAAGTCAATTAGGTCTAAACAGAACCCGCTTGAATTTGAACCGTAATTAAATGAGTGATCCTCATGAGGCTTACTTACCCCTTGTGTGATCGATTGAGAAACAAGATCATTTGGCCTAATTATATGTTTAATTTCTTGTTTTGATTGTATATTTGCACGTTATTTGTTCAGATATATGAGTTCGATAAAAATCGACATCACCGAGGTGGTCCATGAAGGAGGTGGCCGAAACCTTTGAGAATGGAGATTAAAGGCCGATGTCCAATCCGGTCTCATTTTGTACCAATGAATGTCGCTCGACCATGTCTTGGGTTTTCCAATTTGGTTTTGTAATAATTACTTGACGAGTTGCGGGTTTTCTTTTACCGCATTAGGATAATTCGTTCTTTCATTTCATTGGGTGTTATTTTACGCACCGCATTTCAATTCATTGAGTGTTAATTGCTTTCCTAGAATAGGATAGGATTAGCTTAGGATCATAATGAAAACTTACAAAAACATTTGCATGGACACTTAGCCATTTTGACACATCAGGATCATAATTTGTAATCAAAATTGCATGGCTGCTTAGATAACGAACTCTCAAGTTAGGTACCGAAAGGGCGTTAATAGAAATGTTAGCGTAATCAAGTCTCCCAGTTTAGGAACTCTGGTTATGTAGGAATCTCGATGACACTCCCATGTCTTGATTGGTTTCTAGCCGACCCCAATAGGCTAGTGGCGACTCCATAGAAAATACTTTGGTTGTTAAGAACTTAAAGATAAAACCCAACGTTGTGCAGGGTAAGGTCTTAGGAGAGATTGCGCTTAAATCGATGGGCCATTGACCCGCCTTTTGCGAAATATCCCTAAACCCGTCTTTTTCCCCCGGAGGGAAAAAAGAGGTCGTGACACCTGCAAATTTCTCTCCTCGTTGTAACTGATTGGACTTCCAATATGCAGCGTTGTACTTGAAGAGCTCCCTTGGCTCTATACATCTTTGTATCATGTCTTCCTTGGTGCCTCCTCAATTGGCCCTCCCACTTGACGATTTGCTAAATAATTCAGAACCACATACCGTGCAAACGGTCTTCTTGATACCATTAGCATGGACCTCGAGCCGGAATGTCCTTTAGAAGTCAATATTCTACGCTGCCTAGCCAGTGTTGTCGTTGCTTAGGGGTTTCCTTCAAAGTTGAGGGCTTTATCCAAGGGAGCGTCAGCGTGGTGACTAGCTTGCGACATTTGCCCCCGCAATTCCTTACAATTGTCGGGTCGTTGTGCCTCGTCATCATCGAATTCGGCTTCTTGCAGGGGCGGAGCCAACACGTGTATGTTGTTGTAGCGGAACTCACTAAACAGATCTCACGTCCATTGGACAGTGAAGTCCGGATTGACTTTGGATGATCAGAAAAGATTGTTGTTACTGGGGCAAAGCCAGCATGTGTATGTTGTTGTCGTGGAACTCACTAAAACAAGTCCCACGTCCATTGGACGGTGAAGTTCGGATTGACTTTGGATGATCAGAAAAGATTGTTATTATTGTTGTTGTAATTGTCATTATTTTTCATTGTGATATTTAGAATGCGATTAAATAGTTGTAAGGAGAAAGAAAATAAATGAAAATGACAAACAGTTTTAAAGAGCAAGAGTGTGATATGTGGTTGGAATGAGAAATGGTGAAAAATGAGAGGAGGGGATCAATTTATAGAGAGAAATTATTTTCTTCGACAGTCGGCCTTTGGGTGTTCAATAGTCACCGATTGAAATTCTAGGGCGGGGTCAGACCCTAGTGCCAAGCCTATGGATATCTCACTGGATCAATAGGGAGGAGAGGTGACATGGAATAGATGGCAATCGGACCCCTCTCCCGTTGTGCTTGATTTTAGGATTATAAGCATATCAGCTAATTCTCTTTCATCCGTATGACGATGACCGTGGATCGTCAAATTAATGGTTCATGATAAGATAGAGAATTGAATGAATGAAATACATCAATTCATTGAGAGATGTCATAGAGAGATATCATCACCTATAATCATAGTAAAAGGTAGACATAAAGATAATAATTTTTTTTTTTTGGTAACCGAGGATCCGCCACCATTCCCCGGGGACGAGCCCGCATAGGTAATCGGGGCACCTATACCTCTGGGGAGACTAGCCCAGCAACCCACCGTCAGGGCCTCCCACTTAAATTACGGAACCGAGCGGGGATTCGAACCCAGAACCTCTGAAGAGAGAAGGAAAGCGCCCACCAACTCGGCCATGTGCAGGTGGGTTAAAGATAATAATTTTATCTACATGTAAATTGAATAAAGAATAAATTAGGGAAAAATCTCTTAATAATTAGCTCGTGGAAGCTCAACTTGATGTGTTATCTTCATGCTAATTTGTAAAAGATTCTTCACTTTAACCATGTTAATACTTTGCTATTTAATTTGTTACTTCAACAGTCCCCTTCAAACCGATCAATGGGGAGGACCAGAGCAATGATAATCATGGTACTAGGGAGAGCAAACTTTTCTTGAATAAAATGATAAGCACTGTCAATTTGCTTTGTCCTACCATGAAAAATCGGATTGGTTGTGAGATATAATGCCGAGATGTTGTCCAAGAAAGGTAACGAAGGTTGAGGTTGGTTTATCCCAATGTTATGCAGTATGCATGAGTGAGTTCAGCAGCTATTGAAGCAAGAGCTCGATATTCAGCTTCAGACCTTGGTACCGTATAAATTGAGAGATATCATCACCTATGATCATGATGGAATATAAGCATAAAGATAACCATTTTATTTACATGAAAATTGAATAAAAAATAAATCAAGGAAAAAGTTCTAAATGATCAGCTCGTAGATGCTCTGCTTGATGTGTTATTTTCATGCTATTATGTCAAAGATTTTGCATTATAACCGTCATGATATTTTGCTATTTGATTTGTTACCTCTGAGGTCCGGTTATCTCCCTAGGCAGGACTTTTGAAGCCACAGATTGTGAACCATTGCAACTCTTTTTTCGTGTTATATTTTGCAACCATCATGTCCCTTCGTCAAATGAGCTTCTTTTTCCTTTCGTTGCTTTGTCTTATTCCCTCTAAAAGAAAAGTCAAGGGCCGCCCACTTATTCAATTATAATTTTTGACCAGATACTTTGCATTTAACATTTTGTTAAGGGAAATGACACATATCTGGTCAAAGAATAACCAAGGTCAAATTCTCGTGTTAAGAGACATTTTGTCATGCGCTCGTTTCTACTGAAAAATTTTGATTCTTGCAGCTCACCTATCTGGTCAAACGAGCAATCAAATAGAGCACGTCATTAGACGTCCACGACTACCTACAACAGCTATGAAAAGAAACACAATCGTCCCTCTGAAATAGCTGAAATAGATCAACACCATAGTCTCCCCCAAATAAGAAGAAAAGATCGTAAAAAGGAAAAAAGCCAACTTGCTTTTCAAATGGAGGAGGTTGTGATTATTGGAGCAGGCATCGCGGGGCTAGCGACGGCGGTGGCCCTGAAGAAGGTTGGTGTGCGAGCACTGGTGCTGGAGAGAGCGGAGGGGCTGAGAGCCACCGGCGCGGCCTTGGGCCTCTTCCCCAACGCCTGGCATGCACTCGACGCACTCGGGGTTTCAGATAAGCTCACCTCCCTTTACGCACCTTTTTCCAAGTAAGGTTTATCGTTCTTATATAATCGAAAATAGGTTTTACATAGATATTCGAACCTATCTTCAAGTTCCTTTTACTTAATTAACTCTTATTAGATTACACTTCCCATAATTAATGTTTAACTCATGTATTAGGGGTTACGTAACCGATGTGAAGACCAAAGCCATTCAGGAGGTGCGTTATGGTGCAAGCAAAGGGTACTGCCACTCTGAAAATTCTTCAGTTCGATCAATGCATCCTCTATTTTTGATTTGTCGTATGTGTTTCCTTCATTTCCTTTATAATTGACTTGAGGCAGGTACGTACGCAGAGTCTGATTTCTTTTTCATTTGCCAAAAGAAACATTGGATTCATTACTACATTAGATGAAGTACATTCGATGAAAAATAATTTTGGGGTTTTGCAAAAATCCTATGGTAAGTCACATGAACATCCGCAAAGATCATTGCATTTTCACAGAACCCTAAAATTGTTTTTCATCCAATGGATTTCTTATTTGTTTGTATAAAAAGTTGCAAGACCATTTATAATGATTTAAGCAATTAATTGTGTTTTTTGTAAGTAGATAAGGCATGTAATAACATCATTGTAACTAAATGAAAGATTACAGTCTATTTGTGTAATGCTTAAAGTTTAAGAATTTACACTTTTTTTTTATATTTCTTAGGAGTGGACATGAACAAAGAGTGGTACACCGGAAAGTCCTGTTACAGGTCTTAGCAGAGGAATTGCCTCCAAATACCATCCGTTTCTCTTCAAAGCTCACTTCCATCGAAACCCAAGTGGAACAAGGCTCATCTATTTGTATTCTCGCGCTTGAAGATGGAACTATCATCAAGTCTAAGGTATCATAACTTCCCAATTTAGGAGTGTCAACGATTCAGTTCGGTTCGGGTTTTCTGAAAATCTGAACCGAACCAAATTGTTAGGATGTATGCTTGAACCGAACCGAATCTCGAGCATAACCGAACTGGATTAGTTCGGATGAGAAAACCGGATGTTAGGGTTTCTCGTGGCGATTTTGAGAGGGGTGAGAAAGAGCATTTAGTTTTTATTAAATATTTAAGTTCGGTTTGGTTAACCGAACAGAACCGAAATAACCCGAACAGAAAAAAAAGAATAGTTATTTTTCCATTATCCGAACCGAAACCCAAACTAAAAAAAAAATACACGAAATTTCGGTTCGATTACGGTTTCAATTCGGTTTTCGGTTTGGTTTTTGACAACCCTAGTTCTCGTGCTTAAGTTCTCCTGTTAATTTCAGTGGTGATAACACTACTCCAAGTCTTCTTAGAGGGCTCGTGTTAATTGAAGATTTTATATATTATTTGAAAATATGCTATATATGTAGGTGGTTATCGGATGTGATGGGGTGCATTCTAAGATAGCACGTTGGTTAGGGCTCGGCTTGCCCATTGATTCAGGCCGCGCCGCAATTCGCGGGCTGGCCATGTACCCACAAGGCCATGGGCTGAACCATGAGTCTCAGCGATTCGTGGATGTCTCAAAGAGGGCTGGTTTTATGCCTCTGAACAATAAGGAGATATACTGGTACTTTGTTTGCAAAGCTCCTCCAAAAGGTTTTGGTACATTCCCTTTTGTATTTGCTCATACGGCCTATAAAAGGGTATTTTTTTTCTTAACACTGACACTTCTTGTGTAAGAGTATCATTAGTGATTCTTAGATTGGTTTGTGAAGTCAAGAAAAAAAACCTTTGAACTAACAAAAGTATTCTGTGTCGGTTTTCTTAGTCAATTTGTATATGGGTCTTATCCTCCCTACCATTATTACTGTGCATAGATTTCCTCATCACCGGTTAAATTGAAATGTTTCCATAGATGTATCTTACGACAATTATGCCTGGGGAAAAGCTGCTTTTTATAGGCTTAACTACTAACTACTTAACCTTTGCCTAACAATTTTTACTCATCGACACACCTACATTTCAGGTGCCGACATGGGAGGAGACCCAAATTTACTACTAAGAGAAGTGACTGACAATCTAGCCAAAGACTTTCCTCCATTGTACCTTGACATCGTTGGCCACTCCGACCATGCCACCTTGACGTGGGCCCCATTGATGTTTCGCTATCCGTGGGATGTCATCCTCGGGAACCTGACCCGGGTGAACGTCACGGTGGCCGGAGACGCGATGCACCCCATGACCCCGGACTTGGGGCAAGGCGGGTGTTTGGCCCTCGAGGACGCGGTCGTGTTGGGTCGGCACATTGGAAGCTCGATGTCCAAACGGGGCGAACTCGAGACGCGTAATATTGGGTTCGTCCTCAAGAGGTACACGAGGGAGAGGAGGTGGAGGGCGGCGACGTTGATCACGGCATCGTTCTTGTCGGGTTGGGTTCAGCAGGATGGGTCTAGTTGGTGGATGAGGTTCCTAAGAGACGTATTCTATAAGTTTCTATTGGTTAGAGCCCTTAGTGCTAACCGCTATGATTGCGGCAAACTTTGCTAGTATCTCCTCTTTGCCTTATGTTGAGTTCTAAATTTGTCAATTGAACCACTGCATTCATAAATAAACTTTTGAAAGAAATTGCAATCAAGTCCTCCCAACTAAGTCCAAATTTAAAAAAAAATCAAATTAAACTTTTTTTATTTCAAATATAAAAAATAAGTAAACTATTATTTGAGAAAAATTAATGAAGAACACTCATTCAATTAAACCTGAATGAAGTACGACATCTTCAAATTAGAGAAAAAACTTCCATGTATAATTGCGCTAAATTACCAACTACACACAATTACGGCTAAGAGAATGTTTAATAAATTATGTATTTTCGGCTCTCGTGTCTCTCACCATGATTTGGATGATATAGTCTCGTCATTGTCTTCTTATTTACATTATGCACGTTCGACTGGATTCCATTCTTGCAACAACCAATTATGACTACAGACAGTCATTTCTATATATTTCATAGTCAAACTGCACCTATTATCCAATATGATATGTTTGCTAGTATTGAATGTGAACTTCGATGGTACCATAGACACCGATGAGTTCGGTAAGTTGCGAACCATAGCGGAAAAAATTGCAAATTGTAAAATTCTGTTCTTTTACTATTTTAGAAACGGCGACGTTGTCTTCGCCAACCCTTTCAAAGTACTTGGAATAGTTGATGTCAAGTATGTCGCCACCTCATTTATAGATGAAGATGAAGAGTGAACGAAAGGCTTGGGGTGTTTTTGTTCTGACAGAGCAAAGACTATACAAATTTATGGGCACTACTCCATGAGGCACCATCTTCGTCCTAGGGTGGAGTTCGTTGTGTCGAATCGATTGGTTTATCCAACATGAATATTTTGGATCCAATTTCTCAACGTGGCCAATAGATGGTCCACTTGGACCTCCTCACTCAGTTGCACATTTTTTTAACATTGGATAAGGAGAATTTCGAACCCTCCATCTTGAATCTTGAATCTAAGCTAGCATAAACCATAAAAAAAAAAAAAGGCAGAATGTCCTTGTACTATCTGAGTAATTTCACTTTCATTGCCAAAAATCCTTAATTGAAGAAATCACCCTCGATGTGTTTTGATTCAACCAACGTTTGGCATGGAAACGAAACGGTGCGGTTGCTTGACGGATAAACGCTATCAAGAAAGTATTTATCGCACTGCCAAAAACCTACGAGAAGTCTCTAAAGACTTCGGCAACCGTCCAAGTTGTGGTGTCCAATGGCGAGAGAACGTCACTTCCCTTATGAGTGGTGGAGTAGATTGTTAACATACCCATCTTCAGCTCTAAATTGGGGCGAGGCAATCGATTCACGGCCAAAAAACGCAGGGAATGAAGGAGTTTCGAGCAGTTTTTTTTTTTTTTTTGTATCAACGGGTTCAACTAATCTTCCTGGTGAATGTCCCTTATTTTGATTTCTTTTAGCTATGTTTTGATCCGGTCTCGGTCTAGTTACACGTCATTTGAGCATACATGTGATCCTAGACTATGGATTTGTTTTAGTTCAAGTTATAATTTCTACCGTTTATTATTCCCAATTCGTTTGTGGTGATGATTTAGTCGTTGTTTTGGTTTGATAATCTTCATATCACGTTTCCATTGTGTGAAATAAGGGTAATCAGTTCCAGGGTAGGTAAGTTATAGATGTAGAATCTGGAACTTACCATGTTTCTCTTGGAACCAACCCTATTTGTCTGGTGGTCTGTTCGGGAGCTGATTTCTTTTTATTTTCTTTTTTTGCTTAATTTTTTTAGAAAATAAGACAAATAACAATTATAGTATAATAGTGTAAGCAACAAAATAGCTCAAAGTAAAATATCAATACAAAACAAACAAGGTAGAACTGGATCGGTTGCCAAGTGGATCAGTGGGTAGGTTCAACACCCATAACCTGGAACCTACCCGCAAAGTACCGGTTTCAAAAATTTGGAACTAGAAACCAGACCTGTTTCCACTGGAACCGGGAACATAACCTATTTTTATGGGTATTCCGGTCCGGTTTTAGGGTAGGACCGAATCGGTTGCACAACCCTCGGGTGAACTTGTCTAGAATTAGTTAATACGTTGTTATGTGATTTGTTATAGGATTGTCAAGTGGGCTGGACGGCTCAGACAGCGAGCCATGTTTGGCTCCTATGGCGCGTTCGGGCCGGCCTTTATTGGTTCCAATGGCTAGTGAATGCAAAAAAATGGCTCGTGAATGTGTGGGGATGGCTTTGGGATCAAATTTGAGCCCAAGAAATGGCCGAAAGCCCACTGCCCAGATTGTTTATGTGGGTTTGAATAATCTAACCCGTATCTATTATGTTTTGATTCACTTTTGCATTAAATTCTAGCATGCATTGCGTCTAGGATTTTTGCGTTTTTGTTTGAAAGGCATAATGGGTGGGCCGCCCAAGATGGGCCAAACCCGGCACATGAACTACAAGGCCTGTCACGCCCCGTACCCCACGAAGCATGAACATCCGCGTATAGGTCGAAATAAGGTACGACGCTCCCAGGTTACGTCACCGACCCAAAAACCCAAATCAGAGAAAACACGCCACATGCGAAAACGACGTATATATATTATATATATACACCCAGACAATTTAAAAGCAACCATGAGTAGCACAAGCCAACAAAATTCAAACGATTAAAAACAACATATACATTCATTATAACACTTATATATACAATATCCATTATAAACAAGAAATACAACAAAAGGGCCACGAGTACAAAACGGGATCGGTAGCCTAGGGGAATTGGCTAACCACTAGAGGCTACAGTCAAAAAGGGGGTCGGCCCTCACACCTAAGGCTGAGACCTAAACTACGGTTCCCAGTCTGGATCGGAGCTCGACGACTCCGAGGAACTCTCGGACTGCTCCGGCTTCTCCTCGGAAGTCATAGCCTCAAACTCTGTCTCGGGCTCGGCCTCAAAATTCATGGCTGGGGATCTGAAATGTCGGTTTTACCACAACCGTGAGAAATCTCAGCAAGTACAAACCACTAATCCTAAACTAGGCTAATGTGCACCTCCAGAAGGGTAAATAAAACGCATCAACCAATGAACCGGTAAAACAACGTTAATACATTCCCGGCTCACCGCCTTATACATTATCTTAGCCCTGCAGGTTAGGCATTTGATATCAATATAAGTCAAGTGCAATTATACTGACCCGAAGGCCCACAGTTGGATATAACGACCCGTAGGCCCGACCCGAAGGCCACAGTTGATAAAACGACCCGTAGGCCCGACCCGAAGGCCACAATTGATTATAACGACCCGTAGGCCCGACCCGAAGGCCACAGTTGATAAAACGACCCGTAGGCCCGACCCGAAGGCCAACAGTTGATAAATCGACCCGTAGGCCCGACCCGAAGGCCACAATTGATTATAACGACCCGTAGGCCCGACCCGAAGGCCAACATTGGATAAAATTCATACATGTACATTAAGCACCCAATTTCAGTCATACCACAACGTACTTTTGTAAACCACGTGCCCGGGAATTTAAAGTTAATTATCGATGCCAAAACACCAAGCATAACCATGCTCAAATTAGACATATTCCTCTCATTCTTGGCATACCCAAGCATTTCTATTCTAATCCAATCAATTCCAAGTTCATTCCGCGCATTCATTACACAAATCAATCTAATGCGCCTAAGGCCCATCTTGGACTAATCGATCTTACAATCATGAGGTCATTCAATAGGGTTTATTCAAGTCCCAATCAACCCCCAAGAATATCCAAACTCAAACCATAGTCAAAGAACCATTTAAATCTCAATTTGAACCAAAAAGTGCAATTCGGTCCTGGTGAACAGTACCAGAACCGAATTTCACATATGCACTAAACCACCTTTAGACCATCTCATTAGGGCCTAATCACTTACCCTAATCATCCAACCATCAAATATACATAATTAAGCCTCAAATAAGCTTAATTAACACTTGAATTTGTCTAATTCCAAGCCTTGAATCATTGAATTCAATTAGTGAAAAATTTAGACAAATATGCACATTTTCGGTACTTTGTGAACAGTACCAGAACAAGGGCCATTTTGGGCCTTAATCCACCATTAAATCATCTCATTAGGTCCTAATGACTCATACAAAACATCCCACACACAATTAAGCCTAATTAACCCTCAATTAGGCCTAATTAACCCCTAAAAATGCACAATTAAACTAATTAGGGGTTTAGGGGTTTATACTCGCCTATTAATGACTCGGGACGACGGGAACGGGCGGTCGATCACCGACGCGCGGTAAGGATCGACGGCGGCGTTCTGGGTGCAAGCCGGCGGTCCGCGGCGACACCGACGGAGGCGATTTGCTGCTGTTTTTCTTCTGTTTAGGCTGAAACCGGGGCTGATGGTGGCTGCTCTTGGGCGAAACTAGCTGCTGGTGGTGCTGGCTCGGCGGGGACAGCTCCGGCTGGTACTGTTCCGGCGTGAACAGTACCAGAATGGACAGAACCGTGCACGCTAGAAACAGAAACGGGAAAAGAAATTCACGGGGAAGGGGAGGAGGAGAATGGCTCGGCAGATCAGAACAGAATGGGAGAGAGAGAGAGAAATGTCTGGTCAAATAGGTCAACAAAGTGTGGGTGGAATCCAAGTGTCATTAATCCATAGCATTGGACACTTTTGCCCCTAATCCAATGGCCCAAATTTGATCCAATCCAATAATGTAGGGGTAAAATGGTCATTTGTCCTTAACCCAAGCTGACCAGACCTGGTTTAGCCTTAACCAACCTTGGTTAAATCCCAAAAATTAACCAATTTTCGGAATTACTCAAAAATGGCCTAGGGGCATTTTCGTAATTTTCCGATCCCGAACCAAAATTCCAATTTTCGCACATACGTGTTCCATATGTGCGTGGCCAACATAATATGGCGTCGGATCCGCGAAATTCATTCTTTAAGCTCTCGAAAACTGACTGCAAAGTTTCGAGAATAAAATAATATTATTTTTCCAATTTTTGTCGAAATTCCTATTTTTGTCCATAACAACTCCCGGTATGCGTGGCCACCCAAAAATGGCATCGGCCTCGAAAAATAACCTCGCTTGGCCTCAGAAATGGACATCGAAGTCCCTAGGGGCAAAATTGTAATTTCCCCCAATTTCTGTCGAAACTTCCGTTTTCATCCATATTACTCCCAAACATGTGTGGCCACTATAAAATGACGTCCGTCTTGCAAAATAGTCGTAATTACCCTTGAAATTTTGATATCGAAGTTCGGGCTCAATATTGTGATCAAAATAACTCGTTTCGAAGTCTTAGGGCCTCTCACTAACGGGCGACTGTTTAGGTGTTACGCGTATCGACCTAGGATTGTCCGAGTCATGATGGCCTTGAATTTCGAGAGAACGAGAGGAATTATCACTAGTACCGGGGGTCGCGATCGTTTGGATTAAAATCGGGGTTCGTTAGTCAGGCGTACTTTCGGTCGTGCGGAATCACCCGCGATCCGATCGTACGTATCTGACTATATCAATCCGTCATTTTTCTAAGATCGGCCCATATTGGTCCAAAATATTCCTTCGATGTTTCTCGAACTCGGCACTCAATCGCGATCGGGTCCTTGGTCCACGTACCTGATCCTATTTAGCCTTTCCCATTTGGTTAGTATCCCGTGATTGATCAAGTCCGGGCGAGACTTACTAAAATCAAACGAGAATTAATACACACTTTATTGATCCCGATAACAGATCAAAATTCAGGATGTTACAAGGCCCACAAGGTGGTTATTTGCCTTTTACTATAAATAGTTAACCCCCTTTGGAAAACTAACGTGATTTTTCATATGCGCGATAAGACATCTCTTCCAAAAAACTTTTTCTCTAGTCTTCCTTCGGAACGCAAGTGGGTACAAAAGACAATCGAAAATCGCTCTCAAGTGTACAAAGTGGCATTTAATCTATAACAATATCGGGTATGTTCATTCTGTGATATGCATGTACGATCGGTGATACAAGTTAATGATTATTGGGCAAGTTTTCCGCGTAGTTCGAATGCGTTTCGAATATGTTGACTGACGAATGAATTTTCCTTTACATGATTAAATGGGTTCGAATCTCTATTTTCAGGTATCTAAAGAATGGAAATGTCAGAATAAAGTATCGGCATTTACTGACGTCTTCTTCCTCCAAAATATTGGATGGTTTTAAACTAATTTTGTTTTAGACATACAGTTTTTGTCTCGTTGATAGGTACTTAATTAGTTTTTATTGATATTTAGTTAGCTGATGCATTAAAAATAAAGGATAAAAAGAACATCTAGATTGAAGTTATGTGATTATTCCATCATAGGACTTGTTGATTCAAACTTAGTTTTGTGTTATCTTGTTCAATATTTCATCTTCATCACTTAGATGAGGAAATTCATTCATATTTTAGTGCATATTTACTTTTCATACATAGCTCACAGGGTTCTCTCTTAGGGCTTTACAACGGGGATTTTATAATGTTGCCCAATACGACTCAGCGTTATTTCTTTCGTCATATTACACTTACTTTGTTTGATTTTGATTTGTTTTAGTATCCATCCATGATAGCTTAGATTTCCATGTTTGTTAAGAAATATCAGAAAATCAATGGGGAAAGATAGGCATGCAAAGCATTTTAAAAAAGAGAAAAAGGTGCGATAACGGGCGAAAGACAATTCAATTGAAATTAGATACAAACAACTTTCCAAAGCACGTGCTCCTACGTTATTGGTCGACCTGTCTCTATATTACAAAGCACGAATACTTGGCTTCTAGCTTGATTGGCTACAAGTCCCCCTAATGACACTTTTCTTGTGCTAATTAGCTTTGAGTACATGAGATGAGATTATCTCTCCAACTCGCACACGAAAAATGTCCAGATCGAATGTCATCAGTACTTGACGTAATCATAATTAGCGATTAATGTTGCACAACATCCTCGTCATCAAAGCCGGAAGCACCTCGTAATAATGATTAACTCATGATCTTCGTCTAAGGGATGCTGCGTTCTATAGGCTTCTGTTTACTGGACTTCCTCATGACCTCTCGTAAGGACAGTCCAATGTGTGTCGTACCTCTCTGCAAGACATTGTTCGAAATGGTAATTAAAAGAGTGGTACAAAACGATAGTCCATTTGGTAATGGCACATGCAGAATATCTATTCACCAAGATTCCGACTTGGAAATTATTTTATCATCGAGTTGGTTGGAAACCAAATAATTCAAGATTTCAATTTGGAAAATATTTGAGTACCGAACCATCTATTTGGTATGCCTAATTTAATCTGTATGGATATTCATCTATCTTTAAAAATAGAAAACATAAGTTATATTAGTGTGTTGCTCTAGATCACTTCATTGCGAGCGACCGTGTGGCTCTAGATGTCTTCACTAATGATTTCTGGAAGCAAAAGAAACCAACTTACGGGATGGTTCATCCATAAGGGAAAATTAATCGGTTCTAAATCCATTGTATATCATAAACTTTTCAATTTTGTCAAATTAGTCCTAAAAATGGTAAGGTAAAGCACATCCTCACACCGAATCATACCACACCAAGATTAGCTCGAGTAACCAGTCTCTCAAGCGAGATTTCGGCCTTGCATGGCCTTATCAAAAGACAACATTAGCTCCCGACCAATTTGTACACGAGAGACCAATCCCGCCTTCAAAGATCCTCTAAGATGGTATTTGTTCCACTTCATGGTTCTTAGCACAAACACCCTAACGCCACTCCCATAAACTAGTTTTATCATATCTTCTGCATCAGTTGCTCTTCACCTTGATGCCACAAGCTCCACATTTCAGCTAACAAGGATATGAGAAAATTTGGCTCGTGACACATGCTTTGTAATTTACAATCGAGAATGATAGAGCTCCGACAAGTCTTGCTGATGATCTTTGTGATCGTCATGATTTTAGTGATGTGTGGTCCTCATTTCGTAAGGGTCGAACACAGTCCATGACGACGATTTGGCTATGAAGAAGCTCAGTTGCAACAACATTGAAATTCGTTTTCCTAAAATGAACAAGCGAAAAATCGAAGAGGAAAAGAAGAGATCAAGAGCAAAATGATTGTTTTTCACTTCTTCATGTACCTATTGCACTAAAAATTCCCAAGGGGCACGATCGTTCGAAATAGGTTTAAGGTCATTCGTCAATTCATCTCGCGGTCAAGCGGAATCACCCGCGATCCACTCGTATGACATTGGCGAATCGATCCGTGACCATCCTTGGATCGGCCTACATTGGTCCAAAATATCACCTCGATAATCTTTATGGTCGAAAGTCAGCCTACGATCGAGTTTCTTTGGTCGCGCGAACTTAAATCCCTAATTAGCCATTCCCTAATGGTTAGTATCCCATGAGTGATCAGTTCCGGGCGAGATCTAACTACAAGCGCGTCAATCAAATCATCATTTCATAAATCCCAAGTGGGTCGAATTTCAGAATGTCACACTTGTAGTGTCCTTTCTCAAAAAACCAAAATCCAAAAACAAAACATAAATACTAACATTGACTCTTGACTCAAATGAAACTCTAGATCCAAATCACAATGCATGGGACTTAGCAAACAAACAGAAATACTAAAATACTCTTCTCGAATTTCTTGACCGGAATTGCGTATTTGGGGCATAAGGCGTTTATAGGAAGACTCCTTGCATGAAAAAATGATTAATTTGAAATTACACACAAACTCTGATAAAAAAAAAAAGGGTTAATATCACGAAAAATCCCAAACTGGTATACCTGTGACAAATTTACCCCAAACTAATTTTTTGACCATCAAAAATTTCAAACTGGTATACCTGTAATAAATTTATTTCAAACTAATTTTTTGACTACAAAAAATCCCAAACTGATACACTTGTGACAAATTTACCCTCCGTTAAATTGGATTAATACCCCGAAAAATCACAAACTAGTAAATCAATGACAAACAAAGAGGTAAAACCCTAAATTTGCACACCCGTTAACATTTAACGGAAACTAACGGAGGATAAATTTATCACAAGTGTATCATTTTTGGGGTTTTTGGTGATTAAAAAATTAGTTTAGGGTAAATTTGTCACAAATATATCAGTTTAGAGTTTTTTGTGCTATTAACGGAAAAAAAATATATAAACAAACAACTTTCAAAAATATATTATTTTACTATAGGGAAACACTAAAAGCCTCACAAATACCAATAGATAGAGACCTTTAAAGTTCTGCCGATAGAGTTGTATATATGTTCCTCCATGCAATTTATCATTAATTGTGGATAAACATAAACTGGTAGTGGCGTCGAATAGCAAACAAATTGTAAAACGTCAAGCAAGAAACATAGAAAAGTATTGACTTCAAAAAAACGCCTCCCCCGCTAAGGACGAAAATGAGAATAGCGCAGACGAATCCTTTTAGGCAATTCTTTGTAAACTCTTTTTTTTTTTTAACGGAAAAAAGGTTGCTTATATGATTATCCTTATCACTGGAATCACAGCGGTTGTTTTGTTCGACTTGTATACTTGGTCTATCCACTTTCCTGATTGTCGGTAAGCAATTTCATCATCCAATTTAGTTTAATGCCAAACACGTGATCAGCAAAACATGACTCATCCCACTTGTTGACGTATGTGGATGGTTGTGCTAACTTTGCATTTTGCGGGAGAAATGCTGGAGATAGCAACTAGGGCTGTCAAAATAACCCGGTCAAACACGACCCGACCCGAAAATTTTCATATTGGGTCGGGTTGGGCCTCGGCTTGTTTGGGTAATAATCAAAACAATACCCAATTGTTTTGGGTTTATTGGGCTCGAGTACCCAGCCCAACCCAAACAATGAAACATCTCTCTTTCACATCTCTCTCACACACTCTCTCGCCTCTCCTAGGTGGTTGGGTTTGTTGCTATCTGCGGTTCTAGAGGCGACGAAGTCGATTCCGAATGGGGCCATGGCCGAAAGAATCACAGGGAAGGTCATGTTGTTTAGCGACCAGAAGGGCTTCGGCTTCATAACCCCCGACGACGGCTCTAAGGATCTCTTCGTCCACCAGTCCTCCATCCAGTCCGGGGGCTTCCGCAGCCTCGCTGAGGGCGAGACCGTCGAGTTCCAGATCAAGTGTGACTCGTTATCCTCATCGATTTCAGGACCGTTGAGGATTCTTTCCTTTGGTTATTTTCGATCGTCCAACGTCGGTGAACGAAGCATTCTGGAAGCTGAAAATCGAAGGTTACATGTTCTATTCATCTGCATTTGCTTATGTTCGAAAAGGATTCAATCTTTCAGATCTAAACGTAGGTAAGTGGAGCGATTTTTTGCAATCTTTGAAATCATTGTCAATAATTTTCGAAATTCTGCATTTAATGGATTCATTTCAGCTTCTTGGTCTGGTGTCTTCTTCATCTTGGTTTATGTCTTCTTCAACCCAAAGGATCCTTGGCTACAGTGGGGGCGGTTACGACGGGGTGGCAATGGTGGCGGCGGGGGAGGAAGAGGAGGAGGCGGCTGCGGCCGAGGCGGAAGCTGCTGTAACTTAACATTAATTTAAAATTAAAATATGAAACACGAAACACGGCCGGACCTGACCCGACCCGATCGTATGGCTATATCTTGTTCGGGTCTTGTCTCGGGTTGCAAGCACGGATTCTTACATTGTTGTTCGACCTGTCTCTATGTCACAAAGCACGAGTACTTTGGTTTCTGGATTGATTGGCTACAAGTCCCAATATTTATACTTTTCTTGCGCTAATTAGCATGGGTTACATCATCTCCCAGCTCGCACACGAAATGTGGTCCAAATCCAACGTCGTCATTACTTGACGCAATCATGATTAGCGATTAATCTTGCACAACATCCTCGTCATTAAAGGCCGGAAAGAACCTCGCAAAAACGATTGTTTTTTAGGCTCCAGTTTCGTTTTCAGTCATGGAAATCGATTGGGTTGCCTCCCACGTGTGATTTGCAAATGAATGTGGTTTCCCGTCGAGTGCTTTTTGTTTTTATTGCATTGCAATCCGGGCATGTCTTTTTTGGACTACTTTTCCGAGGGAACGTTGCGAGGTACTTTAAGAGAATCATTACCTCTTAATCTAGAGACTGAATAATGACCGAGACCATATTCTTGGACGTTACTTACATTTATAATTGGACGGTGTTTCCTCCATCCAATTTCCTCCAATAATCTTCTGATTGGTAGATTACAAACACGGACATCACTCGAATTTATGTTTAGTCAAGTTTGCATATAACCGATATCTATAACTTGTAATTTACCAATTAAAAAAATTTGCTCCTATGAGGGACAAAGGAAAGTATAATCATCTAGTTAAGTTTGCATGTAGGTAATATCAATTACTTATAATCTATCGATAAAACATCTAGTTGGAGGAAATTTTTTCCAAATAGAGATGGAAGAATATTTAGCCTTATAATAAGACCAAGGTTGATGGTTTCAAACATGAATATCACGTTCTTTTATTTTTAGTGCATTTGATATCAAAGCATGCATTCGAGAAGCAAAGTTCCCTCAAACGCAGTTGAATGGGCCATGGCCGAGATGATAAACCAACCTGAAATCCTCAAGACAGCAACGGAGGAATTGAACAAGGTCGTTGGTAAAGAGAGACTAGTCCAAGAATGTGACATCCCACATCTTAATTATATCAAAGCATGCATTCGAGAAGCCTTCAGGCTCCATCCAATCGCACCTTTCATCCCTACGCACATGGCCATGTCCGATGCCATTGTCGCTGGCTACTTTATCCCAAAGGGAAGTCACGTGCTATTGAGTCGTCTCGGCCTCGGGTGAAACCCTCAGGTCTGGAACAAGCTGTTGCGAAATTCAAATTGGCATTAGTATAAATATCACAAACAATACAGAATTATAAAGAAACGAAATTGCAATAACAAAGTTGGAATCGATACAAATGAATACCGAGGCCTGTGTTTGACACAGTTTCCTTAAAACAGATTCGTTTCCTTCGGCACGCGTCTAAGGTTTCGCGAACGTCTGTCTCCCAGGATACAACGGTTGACGGCTAAGAAGTAATCAGCACTTCAAAGCTTCCGGCGGACTTGAACAAATTATGGAACTGAACACTATTGAAAACAGTGCAAATGCAGAGAATATAAAACAGAGGAAGAATGATTTCGATAAAAATAGAATGGGAGAGCAATAACGGTTGATTAAATCTGTCGTTACAAAATCAATACGAATAACGGACGATTAAATCTGCCGTTATAAAATCAATACGAATAACGAACGATTAAATCTGCCGTTACAAAATCAATACGCATAGGAATAACGACTGATTAAATCTGCCGCACGTTACGAAATTCGTAACAGCTTGAGTTGAAAAAAAAAATTAAATCAGAAGGCAAAATTGGGCTCGTCGCGAGGCCCACTTTTCGGTCTTGCAATCGTGTACACGGGATGTGCGCTCGCGCCCAAGTTTCAGCTTGTCGGGCGTCGGATTTGCACCCCACCGTGCCTGCGCGCGAGGCATAGTGTTTGTGCTATGATAGTTGCCACTTCAAATGAGTGTAACTGTATATAAAGCACTCCATAGCCTTTTTTCTTTTCCAATGTGGGACTAGTATTTTTCCACTTCCCACTTCCAACTCAAGGGTGTTCTTTGAGCATCAATTTCTCATTCATTCACCCATCAATTTATCCCATATTTCCAACAATCCCCCACATGAATGAAAATTATTTTAGTTTTGACTCTTTGATAGTGTTCAACAATTGAAACCTGCATAGGATAGGTAGATGTTACCCTTTGAACCTTCCCTTGTGAAAGTATATTTACTTTACTAGTTGTCCAGTAGACATGATGTCCTTGAACTGTTCAGCTTTCTTATGTAAATTAATCATACACTTCACACAGAAATCATCTAAACGTTTGTTCAATTCTCATAGTTATGTTCGTTTTGGCCAAGAACATCAACCTGGTTCCACAAGAGTTTCTAAAGAATTTAACCCTTAAATAATTCTCCTTTGAAGCGGCCCCACTTCTCTCTCACATAGGTGATTACTTAATTTTGAGTAATTTGTTTACTCCACTTAAGAATCATTAAAGCAAAATGCTATCATTTCCTTTACAATATCACTGATAATTTATATATGAATGGTTTTAGGGATAACCCCCACAGTGACATCACTAAGTTTATATAATTAGGTTGTCTCTTTGAACCTAGATCTTGGGATCTCCAGTCAACTAGGTTGGATTTCCTTTATACCAACTTATTCTTTCATGGGCTTCAGTCCCATTCCTCTTGTCGATTTCTCAACTAACTCTCTATTTAACCCTTTGGTTAGCGGATCCGCAATATTATCCCTTTACTTTACGTAGTCAATAGAGATAATTCCTGTTGAGAGTAGTTGTCTAATGGTATTATGTCTACGACGTATATGTCTAGACTTACCATTATACATATTACTTTGTGCTCTTCCAATCGCAGATTGACTATCACAATGTATACTTATTGGTGGCACAGGTTTTTGCCATTTTGGAATATCCTCTAAGAAATGGTGTAGCCATTCAGCCTCTTCACCACATTTATCTAAAGCTATAAATTCAGATTCCATTGTGGATCTGGCTATAACAGTTTGTTTATAGAATTTCCAAGATACGGCTGCTCCTGCTAGTGTGAATACATATCCACTAGTAGATTTTGAGTCTTTTATATTAGACATCCAATTCGCATCACTATATCCTTCTAGAACAACTGGGTATCTGGTATAATGCAGGCCATAATTCTGAGTATATCGTAAGTACCTAAATACTCTCATTATTGCTTTCCAATGGCCAGCACTCGGATTGCTCGTATATTTACTCAATTTACTAACCGTATAGGCAATGTCTGGTCTAGTACAACTCATTAAGTACATTAGACTTCCAACAACTCTAGAGTACTCTACTTGAGAAATACCCTCTCCTCTATTCTTGGACAGATGAAGACTATTATCTAATGGTGTTCTAGCAATACCAGAATCATTCATGTTGAATTTTTCAAGAATCTTGTCCACGTAGTGTGACTGGTTTAAAATAAGACCTTCTGACGTTCTTGTGATTTTAATTCCTAAAATCATATCAGTAGGTCCCAGATCTTTCATGTCAAATCTTGAATTCAACATATACTTGGTAGATTTGATTATTTTATCATCACTACCAACAATTAGTATGTCATCTACGTAAAGACACAAAATGACATAGCCATTTGTTGTCTCTTTAATGTAGACACATTTATCACATTCATTGATCTTAAAACCATTGGTAATCATTGCATTATCAAACTTTTCATGCCACTGCTTTGGTGCTTGTTTTAGGCCATACAATGATTTCACCAATTTACAGACTTTCCTTTCTTGTCTTGGAACTATAAAACCCTCAGGTTGTTCCATGTAGATTTCTTCATCCAAATCACCATTTAGGAAAGCTGTTTTTACATCCATTTGATGTACCTCTAGATTTCGCAATGCTGCAATTGCAAGTATCATCCTAATAGAGGTTATTCTCGTCACAGGAGAATAAGTATCAAAGTAAGCTAAGCCTTCTCGTTGATTGTATCCTTTGATCACAAGTCTGGCTTTATACTTATCAATGGAGCCATCTGCTTTCATTTTCTTTTTAAAAATCCATTTGGACTTTAAAGGCTTACAGCTAGGAGGAAGATTCACTAGCTCCCAAGTATGATTCTGCAAAATAGAATCAACTTCACTTTTTATTACTTCTTTCCATAGAGGTCCCTCCGAAGAATTCACAGCTTCTGCATAATTTAATGGTTCCTTTTCTAACAAATAAGTTAGAAAATCATTTCCAAAAGATTTTTTCACTCTTGCTCTTTTGCTACGTCTCGGTTCTAGTTCATGATCTGAGTCATGAATTTCATGAGCTGAATCATGACTTTCTTCATTCATAGTTTCATTCTTTCATTTAGATGAACTTGATCCATCATTGGATTTATAAGGAAATACATTTTCAAAGAATGATGCATTCCTAGATTCCATGCTCGTATTCTTGTGTATATCTGGAATTTTAGATTCATGTACAAGAAATCGATATGCATTACTGTTATGTGCATAGCCTATAAAGATACAGTCCACTGTTTTAGGACCTATCTTTGTCTTCTTTGGTGTTGGAACCGCCACTTTTGCAAGACACCCCTACACTCGTAAGTGTTTGTAGGATGGTCTCCTACCTTTCCATAACTCATAAGGGATTTTATCCTCTTTCTTTCGAGGTACCTTGTTTAAAAGGTAATTGCTTGACAAAATAGCTTCTCCTCACATATTTTGAGGCAAACCTAAATTTAGTAATATCGCGTTCATCATTTCTTTCAATGTGCGATTTTTTCGTTCAGCAACACCATTTGATTGAGGAGAGTAAGGCGCAGTTATTTCACGTATAATTCCGTGTTGTGCACAGAATTCATCAATTGGTACTTCATACTCGCCACCTCTATCACTTCTCAATCTTTTAATTTTCTTATTGCGTTGATTTTCAACTTCATTCTTATAGAGAACAAATTTCTCTAAGGCTTCATCTTTGCTTTTAAGCAAATACACATAGCAGTATTTGGTGTTATCATCGATAAAAGTAATAAAATATTTATTACCACCTCTCGTTTGAATGAATTTCAAATCGCAGACATCACTATGAATTAATTCAAGGGGTTCGGTGTTTCTTTCAATTGTTTGAAATGATGATCTCGTTAATTTTGCCTCAACACAAATTTCACATTTATGTTTTGAATCAATTTGGAATGAAGGTATATGTTCCAAATTAATTAATCTACGCAATGTATTATAATTAACATGTCCCAGTCTACCATGCCATAAATTGGAAGACTCAAGCAAATAAACAGAAGACTTATTATCTTTATTGGCAATTGTCATTACATTGAGCTTAAAAAGCCCATCAGATACATATCCCTTCCCCACATACATTCCAGATTTAGACAAAATAACTTTGTCTGACTCGAACACCATACGAAATCCATGCTTGTTCAACAGAGACCCAGAGACCAGGTTCTTTCGAATTTCTGGCACATATAGGACATTGTTCAGAGTCAGCTCTTTTCCAGATGTCATCTTCAGCAACACTTTCCCTTGGCCTTCGACAGCAGAAGAGGCAGAGTTTCCCATAAAAACCTTTTCCCCATTAATTGGTTCGAGATTTGTGAACAGGTCCTTGTTAGAGCATAAAAACCTTTTCCCCATTAATTGATTGGCACCAGTGTCAATCCATCATTCCTTCGGATTGGACCCAACTAAGTTTACTTCAGAAATCATTGCAGAAAGGTTTATGTTTGACACGTCTTGAGCGATGCCACTCACCATATTTGTCTCATAATTCTTCTTATTCGGAAGTCTGCAATCCACATATCTATGCCCCATTTTGCCACAGTTGAAGCATTTTCCTTGAAACTTGTTCTTGGAAACTCCTCCTTTTGGTCCCAACTTTGGCTTGGCAATCTTCTTGCTCTTGTGGCCTTGTCTAAGCTCCACAACATTTGCCTTAGCTGTATTAGGATTGAACCCTTTGCGTTCAAATCCTCTATTGTCTTCTTCGATTCGAAGTCTAACAATCAGCTCTTCCAGGTTCATTTCCTTTCGCTTGTGCTTGAGATAGTTTTTGAAATCCTTCCATCCAGGAGGTAGCTTTTCAATAATAGCAGCCACTTGGAAGGTTTCACTCAAGTTCATTCCTTCAGCCTGAATTTCATGCAAGATCACTTGAATTTCTTGCACTTGACTGATCACAGTCTTAAAATCCACCATTTTATAGTCAAGGAATCGACCGACAACAAATTTCTTTGCTCCGGCATCCTCTGTTTTATATTTCCGGTCCAAGGCTTCCCATAACTCCTTTGCCGTCTTTTTTGCACAATAGACATTGTACAATGAGTCATGTAAGCCATTCATGACATAGTTCCTACATAGGAAGTCAGAGTGCTTCCATGCTTCAACAGCGTTGAAGGCTTGCTTATCTGTTTCTCCATCGGATATCTTAGGAGCTTCCTCAGTCAAGAATCTCGCAAGATTCAAAGTTATTAAATAAAATAACATCTTTTGCTGCCACCTTTTAAAGTTCGATCCGTCGAACTTTTCAGGTTTCTCACCGTGGTGGACAGAAACCGCAGGATGGACAGAGGATGAGCTAGGCAGTTGGACAGATGAGGCATAGGCAGAGTTTTTGGTGATGTTGTCAGCAGCCACATCGACACCATCGTTTCCAGCAGCCACATCCACGACTTCTTTACCAGTAGCCATTTGAATTTCTAAAAGCACGAATATGTTTTAAGAATGTTGCGAAATTCAAATTGGCATTAGTATAAATATCACAAACAATACAGAATTATAAAGAAACGAAATTGCAATAACAAAGTTAGAATCGATACAAATGAATACCGAGGCCTGTGTTTGACACAGTTTCCTTAAAACAGATTCGTTCCCTTCAGCACGCGTCTGGGGTTTAGGTTTCGCGAACGTCTGTCTCTCAGGATACAACGGTTGACGGCTAAGAAGTAATCAGCACTTCAAAGCTTCCGGAGAACTTGAACAAATTGCGAAACTGAACACTATTGAAAATAGTGCAAATGCAGAGAATATAAAACAGAGGAAGAATGATTTCAATAAAAATAGAATGGGAGAGCAATAACGGTTGATTAAATCTGTCGTTACAAAATCAATACGAATAACAGACGATTAAATCTGCCGCACGTTACGAAATTCGTAACAGTTTGAGTTGAAAAAAAAAATAAATCAAAAGGCAAAACTGGGCTCGTCGCGAGGCCCACTTTTTGGTCCTACAATTGTGTACACGGGATGTGCGCTCGCGCCCAAGTCGCAGCTTGTCGGGCATCGGATTTGCACCCCCCCTGCGCCTGCGCGCAAGGCACAGTGTTTGTGCTACGATAGTTGCCACTTCAAATGAGTGTAAACGTATATAAAGCACTCCATAGCCTTCTTTCTTTTCCAATGTGGGACTAGTGTTTTTCCACTTCCCACTTCCAACTCAAGGGTGTTCTTTGAGCATCAATTTCTCATTCATTCACCCATCAATTTATCCTATATTTCCAACACAAGCCACTCGAGTTTAGGCCGGAGCGGCACTTTACTAGTGACTGCACTGATGTTCAGCTCACATACCCGGACTTACGGTTCATTTACTTCAGTATCGAGCGGCATGGCTGCATGGCTCCGATACTTGGGACTGTGATGACCATCATGCTTCTCGCTAGGATGGTTCAAGGGTTTAATTGGAAGGCACCGCCTAATGTCACAAGCATCAATCTTGATGAGTCCTTTGAGGATCTGTCTCTCGCTAATCCGCTCGTTGTTCATGCTGAACTGCGTTTGCCATTTCATCTCTATCCTTGAGAGTTACTTGCAAGAAGAGAAAGTTGACGTTGCTTAGCCTGTTATTTGCTCTAGTGATTTGAGTGGAATAATGAATAATTCAATATATTATCTGCTCCTTTCCCCCATAGATTATTCAATATGAGGATTTTTAGTTCACTAACATTCTCAAAGTGCAGCATGTCGAATGACGAAGATAATACAGCGTACAGCCTTACTAGCTAGTAAAGAGCTAGTGTGATGATGCCCAGTTCACACCACACAAACAAAGATGCCTTCACCTTTCGACCTTACAAGTGATGAGACTAGCAAATATCACCTAGAGGGGGGTGAGTAGGTGATTTGAATGCTAATTGATCAATTTTAATGCGGAAGAAATTGATCTCAGGTAAAGTCTGAACAATGTTCAAATTTTGACCAATGTTTGAATGGCAAACAAATAAATGTGCAATAAAAGGAGTTTTAGGGAAGACAAAATACGCACACAGATGTATAGTGATTCGGCTTAGATCAAACCTACGTCCATTCTCCCACGTTGACAGTCTACTGACTGGATTTCAATAGATGATCAATCAAGAAATTACAAGTTCTGAGTGATATTCTTCTATGAAAGATGAATCACTCTATCTCATTCAATCACTCATACAACAAGTTTCTCAATATCACAGATATTAGCTCAAGATGGACAAGTTATACTGGTCGAAGTTTGCTCAGACTTTGGAATGGATGATTCTGGATATCATCTCTCTACTTCTGCTCCTTGACAATTTATCTCCTTTTATATGCCGCTACTTCCAAACTAGCCGTTGACAGTCTTCAAAGGATTATCTTTCAATATTTACTTTGGACAGATTTGTATAAAAAGGATTGAGAAGCTGTTGAGTGATAAAGTCTGAATCCCGCTGAATCTGATCACCCATACAACCAAAACTTCGGTTTCCATAAGCAGAGCTTCTTCATTTGGAAATAAACTTGTCGTGAGGATGATTGTCAATCAATCAAGGATATTTCAAGATGTAAATATTCTTTGCAAAATAGCCTTTTAAAATCGAATCAATCTATATTTTCCAATGGTAAAATCCAAGCTAGATTACTAGCCGTTGTTCTGAGTTTGCGATAGCGTCTAGATAAAGTCTGATCTTTATCTCGTTCTTCAGAATTTGAGTCAGAATGGTTTGTTCTTTAATTTCTGAATCTTTTGTTTCTAATATAAATTGAAATTCTTCAACTGCTGTATACAAAGTCTGAACTTTGTCTTTTGCTGTGTAGAACTTAGACTTTTCCTTCTGATCCTTGTGAAGTCTGGACTTCTAGAAAATGACTTCCTGGATTTAGAAAATCTTCAAAAGTATTTGTCAGACTTTTAATAACTCTTGGACAATTTTATCAACTTCAAAATATATTATGAGGTTTTCTCAACAACAAGGCCCCCTAACGCTAAATTACAAAAGAAATCATAGGCGGTTTTGTATATTCAGTAATCTATGCAATATAGGACAAAGAGCACTCCACCTTTCGAGGCATGTCTCGTTGCCCTGCCGTCAAGTAGGATTTGAAGGATTTTGGGCCATATCCTTCTCTTGGGCCCAAGATACTTAGTGGGCAAAAACGCTTGTAACATAATGTAATGAATGGGCTCGTTAGGAGTCCATTACATGATGAATCGTTGAATCTAAGGCTAACACCACGAAAAATCCTAAACTAAAACATACATAACAAATTTATTTTAAATTATTTTGTTGACCATCAAAAACCTTACACTAATATATTTATGACAAATTTACCCTCTGTTAGTTTTCGATAAATTGAATCAAATTCACCTAATTATCGGAAAAATTACCAAAACAGTCATAAACCTATTGCAATTGTGCCAATACAATCCTAAACCTTTTGCTTTTGTGTTAATTCAGTCCATCCGGAAAATTTTGGCTGGTCAGTGCTGACGTGGACTACGACCGGTCGGCCAACGCTGACTAGCAATTTTTTAATATTTTTTTCAAAATTTTTTTATTAATTTTTTTTATTTTTTCTTTTGTTTTTCCCTTTCTTTTTTTTTCCTTTCCCTTCATCTTCAACCTCTAGCCAGTCGTCGGTCCAGCGACCAGCCAGAGGCAAGGGCTGGCAAGGTCAACTTCGCCAGGCCCTGGTGAGGACGAGCCTCACCCAACCACTAGCACCAACAAGTTTGAGCCTCGCTATCACTCACGAGGTCGAGCCTCGCCCAAGCATGGCGAGGCTTGTCCTAGCCATTGCTCACGGCTAGCGAGGCTCACCCTCTCCCAGCCACTAGCGTTTGCCTCGCCAGATCTAGTGGGGTTGAGACTCCCCCTTGCCGTCGCTCAAGAGGTCGAGCCTCACCCTCGCCAACGGCCAGCGGGGCTGATCTTGCCGGTCCCCGCCTCTGGAGAGGTTCCAGATGAAGGGAAAGAAAATAAAAAGGAAAAGGGAAAGAAAAGAAAAGAAAATTTAATTAAAAATTAATAAAAAAATTTGAAAAAAATAAAAATATATATTAAAATTTGCCATGTCAACATCGGCCTATCGGGTGGCGTCCACGTCAGCACTGGCTAGCCAAAATTGGCCGGATAGACTGAATTGGCACAAATGCAAAAGGTTTAGGACTGAATTTGCATAATTACATTAAGTTTAGGACTGTTTTGCTAATTTTCCCCCTAATTATCACAAAATGATGCAAGGTCCGGTTATCTCCTTAGGTAGGACTTTTGAAAGCCCACAGATTCAGGAACAGTGCGACTATCTTTTTGTGTTTTATTTTGCGACCATAATGTCCCTGTGTCAAAAAAGAGAGACAAATAGCAAACAACAAGAGGAGGAAGGTATTTGCAACAAGTAAAAAGATGGAAGCAAAGTCTTCCTGATTTAACGTGGTTTGGTTGATTATAATTGTAAGAGTTGAAAGTGTTCGAGCAATACACATGTATTTCCGGCATATTAGTTGAATTTATGTGACATTACACTTTTTCCTTTCGTTGCTTCGCCGTATTCTCTCTAAAAGAAATTCTAGAGCTGTCCATTTATTCGATTATATGTTGTGACCAGATACTTCGCAACATCCTAATAGCAATTGTTTAACATTATACTAATTGGATAATGACATAAATGGTCTATGAACTTTCTCCCAATGTATAATATGATCCATGAATATATATAGTTCAGGGACTACATTGAACATGTACCAAAAGTCCAGAGACCATATTAAACAAATTAAAAGTTCATGAACCATATTACACATTGAGTCAAAATTCAAAAACCATTTATATAAATTTCCCTACACTAATCAAGGTCTAATTCTCGTGCTAAGAGATATTTGGTCATGTGCTCGTTTTTAAAACACCTGAACGATTTTGATTCTTGCAGCTCACGTGTCTGGTCAAACGGGGAATCAAATCAAGCACGTCAATAGACGTACAAGATCTGCCACAATAGCTATAAAAAGAAACGCAATTGCAATTGTCACTCTGAAATAGCTGAATTTTAACATTATACTAATTGGATAATGACACAAATGGTCTATAAACTTTCTCCCAATGTATAATATGATCCATGAATATATATAGTTCAGAGAATACATTGAACATGTACCAAAAGTCCAGGGACCACGTTAAACAGATTAAAAGTTCAAGAACCACATTTAACAAATTAAAAGTTCATGAATCATATTGCACATTGAGTCAAAATTCAGAGACCATTTATGTAAATTTCCTTACACTAATCAAGGTCTAATTCTCGTGCTAAGAGATATTTGGTCATGTGCTCGTTTTTAAAACACCTGAACGATTTTGATTCTTGCAGCTCACGTGTCTGGTCAAACGGGGAATCAAATCAAGCACGTCAATAGACGTACAAGATCTGCCACAATAGCTATAAAAAGAAACGCAATTGCAATTGTCACTCTGAAATAGCTAAAATAGATCAAGAGCATAGTTTCACCTAAATAAGAAGAAAAGGATTGTAAAAAAACACAAAAGAAGTCAAGGTTACAATTGAAATGGAGGAGGTTGTGATCGTCGGAGCAGGCATCGCGGGGCTAGCAACTGCAATGGCCTTAAAGAAGGTCGGCGTGCGAGGACTGGTGCTGGAGAGATCAGAGGGGCTGAGAGCCACCGGCGCGGCCCTGACCCTCTTCCCCAACGCCTGGTATGCGCTCGATGCGCTCGGGATTTCGGATAAGCTCACCACCATTTACACTCCCTTCGTCAAGTAATTAAGGTTTCACCTTTCTCATGCTTTAAGGCCAACTGCACGCATTCGGACGTAATATTAGTAATAAATGCACCATGCATTCACGCTTGTTAGATTAAATTTCTTACAACTAATTTTTTGCTCATGCATTAGGGATTACGTGACCAATGTGAAGACAAAAGCCATCCGGGAAGTGCGTTATGGTGAAAGCTGATGTAGCTAGCAAGGATCACCTAGAGGGGGTGAATAGGTGATCTAAACAATTTTAAATAATTTATGCGGAAATAAAATAAATCACAGAAGAGTCTGAATAAAATTCAGATACAAGACAGATTATATAGACGGTGCTCTTGATGTGCAGAATGTAAAGTAAGAGATAAGGGATAGAGAATCTGCACACAAGTTTATAGTGGTTCGGCTTATAGCAAGCCTACGTCCACTCTCCCACGCTTACAGCCTACCAGCTGGATTTCACTATGTAATCAAGAGGAATTACAACTTCTGAGTGTTAACACTCTTGTGTATGATAAGACTTTCTATCTCACACAATCACTCTTACAAAGTGTCAATCAAGATCTTAATGTTTTGCTCAAAACGACAAGAGAAATGATTGGAGTATGCTCAGACTTTGGACTTGTTGATTCTTGATTCTGTTCTTCCTTCTGCTACTCGTTGATCTCCTTAAATACTCATCTACTTCCAAACTAGCCGTTGGACAGCTTTCAGAGGATCATCTTCCAATCTTCACCTTGGACAGATTTGTATAGAAAGGATTGAGTAGCCGTTGGATGACAGATTCTGAATCCCGCTGATTCTGGTCGCCCATACAATCAGAATCTTGGTTTCCATAAGTAGAGCTTTGTCCGTTGTAATGCATTCCTGTCGTGATGTTTGATTGTCAATCAATTTGATTGAGATTGAGACAATCAGAACATTCCTTCTATGAAATCCATGCTAGATCACTAGCTGTTGTGTTACGTTCTGAATTCTGCGTCTGAAGAAATTCTGCGTCTGCATCTAAAGAGCTTCTGCGTCTGCGTCTGAATAATTTCTTCGTCTGCATCTGCATCTGAATAACTTCTGCTTCTGCATCTCAGAACTTCGATTATGTGGGTCTTCAAGAACATACTTGACAGTTTGTAAAGTCTGAATAACTTTCTTCTGAGTTTTCAGAATATACAGATCTGGAATAGATTAGTTCAGAATAAGTATCAGATTTACAATAACATAGAAGGTTTTGTCAACTTTAAAATCAATAGGAGTTTTCCTCAACAAAAGCAAAGGGTACTGCAGCTCTCAAATTTCTTCATTTGGATCAATGCATCGCCTATTTTTTATTTGTCTAGTTTCATCATTATAAAAAAAATGATACTATAAGGAAAATAATATGAAAATTTTGAAAATTTACACTCTTTAAAATTTCTTAGGAGTGGGGATGAACAGAGAGCGGTCAACCGGAAAGTCTTATTACAGGTCTTGGCGGAGGAATTGCCTCCTAATACCATCCGTTTCTCTTCAAAGGTCACTTCCATTGAAACCCAAGTGGAACAAGGCTCGTCTATTTGCATCCTCGCGCTTGAAGATGGAACTATCATCAAGTCTAAGGTTATCACGACTTCTCGTACTTAAGATCTCTTTTTTTTATTTTCAGTGGTAATGATACTGTTCCGGTTCTTGTCGGAGGATTCACAGTAAATTGAGGATTTGTGTAGGTTGTTATCGGATGTGATGGAGCGCATTCTAGGATCGCCCGCTGGTTAGGGCTCGGCTCGCCGGTTGACTCCGGCCGGTCTGCCATTCGCGGGTTGGCCGTGTACTCGCAAGGCCACGGGTTGAACCATGAGTTTCAGCAATTCGTGGACGTCTCAAAGAGGGCTGGTTTCGTTCCTCTCAACGATAAGGAGATCTACTGGTTCTTTCTTTGCAAAGCTCCTCCAAAAGGTGTTGTTTCCCCTTTGACATAGATGTATCTTACAACAATTATGCTTGGGGAGAAGCTATCTTTCATCTTTTTATCTTCGATTTATATAGGCTTAACTAATAACAACTTGACCTTTACCTAACAATTTTTGGTCATCGACACATCTACATTTCAGGTGCGGACATCGGAGGTGACCCAAATTTACTGCTAAGAGAAGTGGTTGACAACTTAGCCAAAGACTTTCCTCCCTTGTACCTCGACGTCGTTGGCCACTCCGACCTCTCCACCTTGACGTGGGCACCGTTGATTTTTCGTTATCCGTGGGACGTCATCCTTGGGAACCTGACCAGCGCGAACATCACGGTGGCCGGAGACGCCATGCACCCCATGACGCCAGACTTGGGCCAGGGTGCGTGTTCGGCCCTCGAGGATGCAGTCGTGTTGGCTCGGAACATCAGAAGCTCCATTTCCGGACTAGGCGAACTCGAGACGCGAAACGACGGGTTCGCGCTCGAGAGGTACACGAGGGAGAGGAGGTGGAGGGCGGCAACATTGATCGCAGCATCGTTTGTGTCGGGTTGGGTTTCGCAGGATGGGTCTAGTTGGTGGATGAGATTCCTAAGGGACGTATTCTATAAATTTATACTGGGAAGAGCCCTTAGTGCTAGTACGTACGATTGCGGCAAACTTTGCCAATGTCAACAGCGATCGCCGACCAGGAAAGTATTAGGGTGCCAACACCTTTACGCCGATGAAATTCTTAGAAGGGGAACTTATTTTGAATTTTTTTTGGTTCCATATAGGCAATTTCGTTCTCATGCTTAGTACTGTTGTTATGAAATTTGTTGACATTATGTCATTATAAATGAGTGGGTGGATTTATTTACGTACCCTTTCTTTACCATGGAACTCATCATGGAATTGACGAAAAATGAGAAATATTAACGCTCCCTATGTAACGACCTGGCCGGTTCCACGTGTGCTAAACCCTCAAAGAAGTGCTTAAAGGAACCACAAAAGGTGGTGACCATTTGGTGTGGGTATTGACTTATTACTCACTCAACAAAGCTAATCCCGACAAACAGACGAGAGACTTGCGATACTGCAAACTTTCCCATTTAAACCACTTATGTACATTAAATTCCACCTTATTCTTACGTTCATAGGGAAATTCTCACCTTGTCTTTCTTGTGTCATGCTCTGTACCTCCTACTCTTGATGCTTGAGTAGGGCGATTTAATATTGCATCCACCTAGTATGGTGGCCACATAATACACAAGTTAATGCAACGGCACACGTACTGCATATGGAAAAAAATATCCCATTAAACAGGATTTAGCTATTGGATTAAACTCCGGACCAAGGGGATTTTTACCTTGGCATTGTTCGAGGTAATACTGAAGAATTTATCAGAGATGCAACTCATTGACAGCTCTCATTAATTTGGCGACTACATTTAACAATTCTACGCATATATTAGCTTATTTAATGGAAGAATTCGATGATGTAATTCGCCTTCCTCATCAATTCAATGGTCAGTCACAACACAATACGCGTGATTCGTGACATTTGGAAATTCCTACATTAATTAATACTATCTAGGAAATGTATTCAATAAATGTCACAAGCGGAAATTCTAGTTGGATTTTAATGTGGTAGTAGTGGAATGCCCGAATTGTATATTCTGTGTCCGTAGTTTTTGGAAAGTGATTCCATTAAGGTTAAATTAATGAATATTTACTCTTGGGTCGAATATTTAGAGTGGCGATGAAACATGTATCGCCACATTGGTTGTTAACGGAGACTGATACGCTTCAAGATTACGTATCAAATGAATGGTAGGTTGAAAATTTACTGAGTTGAGTCCCTCCCAGTGTCCGGTAATTTTTGCTGAGCATTTTAATGTGGTTAAAGTATTTTTATGTGTTATCAATACGTAAACACTGATTTCCTTATTTATGTACTGATTTTACTGGATATCTTGGTTATTTATCAAAATATCTACTTTGGAACCATATAGTTTAGCCAAATGTCATCCATTAATTTGTACACCTATCACTGATCCACCACCAAGTATTTTTAATCCAAGCCATCATCACTTTTAACCTTTAGTTATTTGATCTTATCCTTTTGAAACTTACGTAAGTCTTTCAAGAACACCCCTCTCTCTCTCTCTCGTATGAACCACTACAAGCACTCAAGTTTTGAAAAGGAAGCTTCAATTTATTCTTGCAAAGAAAGAGAGAGTTCCATGTCACTTTCCCTTCTCTTTCTTTTCTCACTATTTTGAAGCAGAGATGAAGGTCCCACGTTTGTATTTCGACAGCTTCCAAATCAATATTTTTAGTGTTCATGGGGTGTATTGTTGTGTTTCCTCTTCATCTTATCAAATCATTTTCAAGGTAAGTGAAACTCTAGAGCTTAGTTAGGTTGATCTACTTAACATTTTTTACTTGGTTATTTGATGGTTGTTGATTTTAGTTCGAACTTTGATGTTAAGTGTGAGAAAGTTATAATGATTGCGAGTTGAATCATGGCGTTCATTTGACTTAAATCGAAGAATTTCTACATGCTAAGGTTGTGATTAATTGACTTCCGAGAGATTCGGTTGTAGAAAAAGTGGAAATGGTGAAATTAAACTAGAAAGTGATATTTTTGTAATTCGACTAACATATCAATTTACTAGCTAAGTGTTGCCAATTAATCACTTTGTCGTTTATTTGGGTTGTTGATGTTCATGTGGTCGATTTTTGGAGTGTCAATTTTCACGTGGTCGATTCTTTGAGTTATCGATATCCACATTGCTGATTCATTAAATTGTTGATTTTCGAGTTAACTTGTCGATTGAGACCAAGCTAGTGTTGTACAAAATGTTGATTAATAAGGTGGTGTATTCTTTGTGTTATCGAATTATAACTTGTTGACTTTTGACGAATCTATCAATCTTTGACTATGTTATCATGGCTCACATGGGAAATGAAAAGAGGAAAGTGCATTTTTACTATTTATGTATTTGATGCATGAAAAAGGCATGACGATTGTATTTCGGTAATGTTTTGAATAAGATGGTGTCGTGTACATAATATTGATTTTGAGAATGGATATGCAAGAGATAATAAATGGCTATTGAATTCATTGTCAATGTAAGGAACATCACACGAATTGAGTATTGTTACGTGCACCAATGTTATATGCAGTAAGTATTATGCTATGTTTCCATCGCCCAAGTATTAGTGGTGATGATGCCTCGGAGTTGAGATGCCCCATGATTCGGGATGCCTCAGGAGTGTTTGAGATACCTCGGGAGTCGAGATGCCCCGTGTGTCAGGATGCCTCAGAGTTGATATGCCCCGTGTGTCAGGATTCCCCATGAGTCAAGATCCCCGAGAGTGTTTGGGATGTCTTAGAGTGAAGATGCCCCGTGTGTCGGGATGCCCCGGAAGGGTTCGGGATGAGACGATTTGCTAAAAATGAATATGATATATGTGTGAGTGCACATGGAAATGCATATGTTCATATGTGCGTATTAATGAGCTAATCGATGGTAGTCATACATCAAATATATAATGTCATTCACTTGCAATTAAGTGAATAATCTTATATAGCATGGTTCATCAATTTTCCTGGCATCTGTGATAGGTAGAATAGTGAATTTATTCTTTCAATTGCTTTGTAAAGTTATTTTGTAATCATCTTGATTTAACATTAATTTATGGATACCAGGTTGAGTGGTGAGATGATCTCCTACCTTAGATTTAGAGATTTCATTTACTCGGCTTTGATTCATTCATTATTTTTTAGATTTGTAGGATAGATCACTCTCCACCACTGCAGTTTGGAGTTCCTGTATATTTTGACTGTGAATATCAAGACGTGTAAGTACTTAAATTAGCGGTAGTTTATACTAAGTGTAGTTTGGTGATATGGATCAATGTAGGTGTACCGGGGTGGATCCCTTAATCGATTTGTTGCCTAGTACTTCAACATCGATGGAGAGTTGGTTGGACCACTTAAGGGCTTTGATGGTTCTCCTGGTTTCGACGACAATGGCATGTCGATGGGCGAAGTTGTCGATTTGTAGTAGCACGCCTTTGTGCAGGCAAGTTTTGGGCATAGGAGTATAGGGTAGTATTGACGAGACCCGGCCTTCTTACAAGAGTTAATGCGTTGTTTTCTGTTTTCTTTCATACTTGTATTAATACTTGGAAGAGGGAAGATAATGGAAAGATGCATATGTAAATTATTCAGACCAGTGAAATTGTGTTTCTCGTGAAATGTGAATTTTGGTGCTTCCATATGCTTATAATAATTATGAGTAATAATCGGAAAATACACGTATCACACGTGACGTTCTGGGGCGTCACAACATGTCCCACTTGATGATTCGCTAGAATTTGGAAACATATACCAAGCAAATGGCCTGCTTAGCACCATTGGCATGGATCTCAAGCCGGAAAAATGTCCTTCAGACATCGGATATTCTTCCCTCCCTAGTTGACGCCGTAGTTGCTTGGGGGTTTCCTTTGAGGATAGGGGTTTTATTCGAGGAAGTGTCTTGGTGAGGACTAGGTTGCGGAGTCCACCCCTGCAATTCCTCCCAATCATCAAGTCATCTTGTCTCGTCATTTGAATTCGACTCGTTGTTGGGGCGAAGCCAGCACCTAGACATTGCTGTTGCAGAACTCACTGAACGAGTCTCACGTTTATTGCACGATGAAATCCGAATTGACTTGGGATGATCCTAAACGGTTATTATTGTTGTCGTTCTCCATTGTGATATTTAGAACGCGATTGAATCGTCGTAAGTAGAAGGGGAATAAATGAAATCAACAAAAGGCTTCAAAGAGTAAGAGCGTAAGGAAGTGATATATGACGTAGGGCTGAGGATTGGTGAAAAATGGAAGAAGGTCATAGAGGCCATTTTTTTCTCTTCACTGATTGAACTTTTGGGCCCGTTTCATGTTGGACCGTGTGGCTATCTGATGGTTCCAAAGAGAGGAGAGGTGACACGGAATAGATGGCAACCCGATCACTGTCCTGTTGCGCTTGATTTAGAACCATATAATTATTAATGGTCCATGTCCTTTTCAATAAATGTAAAAATCTCACCTAATTCTCATTAAAAATGCAAGGTCCGGTTAGACCCTTGGGCAGCACATTTGAAGCCTCCTTTTCTGGACCATTTTGACTCTTTTTTGTCCTTTTTTATTTTGCAGCCAGGCATGTTCCGTGGTCAAGTTAGCTACTTTTTGCTTTCGTTGCTTTGTGTCTAGATGAAAACTCAAAGGTGGTCCACTTACTTGATTATATTTGAAGACCAGATTCATTGCAACTTCCTAATAGCAATTGTTTAACATTTTGGTTCTTGCAGCTCACGTATATTGTAAAACGAGGAATCCAAATGAAGCACGTGTTTAGACGTACACAACTGCCACAATAGCTATAAAAAGAAGAGCAGTTGTCACTCTGAAATAGCTAATATAGATCAAGAGCATAGTTTCCTCCAATTAAAAGAAAAGATCGTAAAAGAGAAAAGAGAGAGAGGCAAGGTTACATTTCAAATGGAGGAGGTTGTGATCGTCGGAGGCGGCATTGCGGGGCTAGCGACAGCGGTGGCCCTGAAGAAGGTCGGTGTGCGAGCACTGGTTCTTGAGAGATCAGAGGGGCTGAGAGCCACCGGCTCGGCCTTGAGCCTCTTCCCCAACGCCTGGCACGCGCTCGACGCGCTCGGGGTTTCGGATAAGCTCACCTCTCTTTACACTCCTTTTTCCAAGTAAGGTTCTATCGTTCTTGTAGTTAATATATATATTTTTCCAAAATAGGTTTTTACGTACATATTCTAATTAGATTATACTTCTCATAATCAAATTTTCTTGCTCGTGCATT